AACAAAAATGGTGTGACTTGTTAAGGCACAGAGTCAGCTACTTCGTCCCAATGGTTTTTACGCACATATACACACACCTTCCCCAGATAAATATAACTTCCTACACCTTACCGCTTTGCTTATCTAGGAAAATCAGTTGTGCAACCGCATTAGGGCTGCATCTGCATCTGCACTGCAGAAACAATCCAGTCTGACACCACTTTAACTGCCAAGGCTCAAGCCTATGGGATTCTGGGAGCTGTAGTTTTGTGAGACATTGAGCCTGCTCTGGTGCCAAACTACAGTCCCAAGAATTGCACAGCCTTAAGCCACGGGAGTTTAAGTGGTGTCAAACTGGATTGCTTATGCAGTGCGGATGCAGCCCAAGATATTTAAGCTTCATCCCCTAAGTCAAGGGAGAAAGCTATGCATTCTTCAGGAAGATGCTGGAGTGCAAGCCCCAACAGCCTTCTCAGCATCACCAAGGATGTACAGTCCAACAACATTTAGAGAACCACATGATCATAGATAAGTCTCCAACATTTCGAAAGATGAACACCTCTGAACCAATCTTGCCAAGAAAACCCCATGACAGATTCGCCTTAGCCTTGCCATAAGTCAGAAACTATTTGAAGGCACACAACACACAAAACACAATGAACACTTCCTGTATCTCTACAGTTGGCTTTTCCACCTCTGTTTCTCCATGCGAGGCTTGGCACCTCCAAAACCCTCCCCCAAATGTAATGATTTCAAAGATCATTGCTTCGGGCATGACCACTCAAGCTACTGGGCTGCTAAAAAAAGCAGAATATTCATTTTTTCAATGGATAGCTGCCCTTTCTCGAGCTGCGAACTGCTGAGGAAAACAAGCAAGAAAAGGACAGGGAAGAGGAGGAGGAGGAGAAGAGGTGATTTAGAAGAAGGGAGAAATTGTGGAAGACAATAGTAGTGATCAAATGCACCTGACACTGACAGAACAGCAACATGAGCCAGTATGTCAGAAATCAGCTCCCCTTGTACTTTGTTGCCCTTTCGTAATGAGTGAGAGGCAAAAAACATGTAAGAGACAAGTCCTTCGAGTTTTCCCTTTGGAAGAAAGATGTCCTACAGGAAAAGCTCACCTCCGTGTCATGTAGGTAGGAATGCCAGAGGCTCATATCCGGCATCCAGTGAGACCAGTGGTCTCTGACAGGTACCAGCATCTCTCCAAAGCTTTCGTAAGAATCCCAGATGTAGTCCAATATCGTCAGCTGCAACCAGCAGCAATGGCTCGCCAGGGTTGCAAGCAGACTTCTTTTCCTATCTGAAGGTTCTTGATGGTTTTCCATCCACATCCTAACCAGCCCTGGCCTTGCATAGCTTCCAGACTCAAGATAAGACAACGTTCAGGGTGGAACACTTCTCCCTCTGTTTTCCATCAAGGAAAACAAAACAAAAAAAGAAGAAGAGAAAGGCCACTACAGAAAGGAATGGGCACTTCATTTTAGGAAGAAGTTGGAACAGGCTCAGAGAAAGGCAACAAGAGTGGTAAGAAAAGAAAATGTTGGAGGAAAGGTTGAGGGCACTGGTGAAGAGAAGACTGAGGAGGGACATGATCACACTCTTTAAATAGCTCCAGGGACCCTGGTAAGCCATTGCCACAGAAAGGAGAAGGCAGGTTTGTTATCTGCTGCCCCAGAAGATCAGATCAGATCTAATGGTATGAAGTTACAGGAGAGGAGATATCAGTTGAACATTAGAAAGAACTTCTTGACTGTAAGAGCAGCTCAGCAGTGAAACCAATGTCCTAGAGAGTTGGTAGCTACCCCAGCAGGTAGATGTCCCAGCCTCCTTTTGAAGATGTCCAGAGAAAGAGACCCCCATCTTCACAAAGATGCTGGACAGCTACCTGCTGGGGCTGCTCTAGCTAGCTCAATGGTTCCCAACCTTTGGTCCTCCATATGTTTTGGACCTCAGATCCCAGAAGTCCTAATCAACTTGGCCAACAGTCAGGAATTATGGAAGGTGAAGCCCAAAACATCTGGAGAACCAAAGGTTGGAGACCACAACTCCAATGAGAACTTGCACCAAGCAGCGAGGGAGAGTTGGACTCAAATGGCCTATGAAGCCTCTTCCAACTCTTATGATTATATGATTGTAATGGAAGCAAGGCGGTCTCCTTGCCCAGTTGTCTTTATATTCTCAAGATCAGATCATGAAACAACTTGGCTTCCTCTGGGCCCTGCCTTCCTCTAACCTGGTCCTTCTTTGTCATTGTATGAGAAAGGCGGGATATAAATTCAACACATACGTAAGTAAAATAAATAAAAATATAATGGGATATAACGGTCTCGCAGTGAAGGCAGGTTGGAGCCATTTGGGATGCAAAGCAAAGCAAGGCAGCTTTTTTCCCCCTCGGTTTTTAGGAAGAAAAGTGATTCCTTGGAGATCTAGTTTTATCTGTCTTGTGCCCCCAGCCCTTTTGTAGGCAGAATATAATGAGAATTTGCTGTTTTGGGGTTCATAATTGGAACCCAGTACCGCTTAGAACCCAGTGAGACTCAAGATGGATCAGTCTCTCTTTCCGTCTCTAATTATTATTGGATTTGCTTCATCCCGCGCAGCCTGCTAGCATTAAAAACATTCATAATACATAACTGAGATAATATCAAAGGAGCAGCAGCCCATATATTTTTTTAAAAGGAAAAAAAAAATATCACAGCTGTGCATTATGAGTCTGACTAAGCAGCGAGGAAATTCAAAACTGAAATCACCAACAAAGGAGAGAAAGAGAGAGAATGAGAGCCCAAGCATACCATGCAATAAAAGGACAAATAAATAAAAGGGACCTCGGAATTTCAAAAAGCAATGCATTTTAATTAATGAGGCCACTCCAATTGAGACTGCCACTGCTATCAAAAAGTGTGCAATTGAATTAATAGGTTAATGTCACATGCAGGAGGGGAACAACCCCCTCCTGCCTCCCCCAAAACCTGGAATAAGTACATAAATAAATATACAAGATCTGAAAGGACCTATGTACACACACATATGCACAACACACACACAACAGCGGCATGAACATCCCCAAACAAGCATGGCAAAAAAAATAATATAACTTTCTAGAGACACAATCTTCTGCACAGCTTGGGGAAAAAAATTGCGTTTGGGAATTAATTCATTTCTGACTTGCGTAACAAGAGGCTGCGTCCACACCGTAGAAATTATCCGGTTTGATCCCGCTTTAACTGCCACAGCTCAATGCTAGGGAATTCTGGGAATTAAGAGTTTGTTGATTGGACTTAGGGTGCATCTGCACTGCAGAAACAATGCAGTTTGACACCACTTTAAGTGCTGCAATTCCATCCTATGGAACCCTGGGATTTGTGGCTTTATAAGGTCTTTAGCCTTCGCTGACTAAGAGTGCTGGTGCCTCACCAAACTACAATTTTCTCCCATGTTCTGCCCTCTAATGAAATTTTCCTCCAGTCCCACAAATTTCTGCAAGAGAGCAAGATCCTGAATTCTTATTGTGGGGAGGACACCCTCCTTTTGTTCTCAATCCCATAGCTATATACTTAACTCTTGCCATTTGGTTACTATTTGGTTGCAAAAAGGAAGAGAGAAAAGGCCAGAGCCAAAAGGCAAAGCGATTTGTACACAGTAAGTCCAGGTAACACACCTAAGTACAGGTGAGATTGATCTGAACTCAGCCAGAATAAAAAGCAGCCACCAGATTTTTATTCCCTCCCTCTGCCACCATGAGCTCCAAATAGCCAGGAAATATTCCATCTCATCTTGGAAGCTAAGCAGGGCCAGCCCTGGATAGTACTTGGATGGGAGATTGCCAATGTGCTACAGGCTGTGCTTTCAAAGGAGTGAACTGGCAAAACCTCCTCTTAAGCATTCCTTGTCAAAGAAACCCCTTCAAAACTCATGGGGTCGCCATAAATCAACAGGTGACTTGTGGCATAGTGGTTTGTGCATTGGACTAGGACTCTAGAGACCAGGGTTCGAATCCCAGCTTGGCCATGGAACTCCATTGGGTGACCTTGGCCCAGTCCTTGTATGTCTTTCTTCCACAGACTAAGGATGCACTGACTTGAGAACTATATTGAATTTTTGATATACAATGCATCTGGGAAGGCAACACACTCCCTTAGAGAGTGGAGGAGTCTCCTTCCTTGGAGGTCTTTAAACAGAGGCTGGATGGCCATCTGTTGGGGTGCTTTGATTGAGAGTTCCTGCATGGCAGAATGAGGTTGGACTGGATGGCCCTTGTGGTCTCCTCCAAGTCTATGATTCTATGCAATCCCAACACACACACACACAAAGTAAGTTCAAATGGCATTAAGCCCAACCTAGATGATATTCCTGTTTGAATACTGGTGTTTGCACTCCTTACACTTCCTTGTTCCCATTTCCTCAACCCACTGCCCCCAAATCCTTAGCCACAAGGTGGTTCTCTTTGCATTCTCCTCCCAAAGCCCTCCTTACAACCATTCCCTGGAAAGAACAGCTGAAGAAATCATACCTCCTCCAACAACTCACAAGTCTGGCTGCAATGCAACAGGCAAGTCAGTCTCACCCAACTCAGTGGGCTTCTCTTCCAAGTAGACAATATGGCCTAGTGGTTTGAGTGTTGGACTATGGCTCTGGAGACCAGGGTTCAATTCCCTCCTCAGCCATGAAACCAAGTCACAAGCTCTTATCCTCAGGGAAGGCAATGGCAAACCTCCTCTGAACAAACCTTGCCAAGAAAACCCAGGATAGGTTTGCGAAGACTTGAAGGCACACAACAACAACCATGGTGACATTGCTGTTGTTGTTAACTGCTTGCAACTCAACTGCAACCTGTATGAATAAGGCATCTCCAAGGCATCCTATCCTCAACAATCCTCAGTTCCTTAGGGCTGTGTCCTCTTTGAGGCCAGGGTTCGATTCCCACCTCGGCCATGAAACCCACTGGGTAACTTTGGGCAAGTCACACACTTTCAGCCTTCCAGGGCAAAGGCAAAGCACCTCTGAACAAAACTTGCCAAGGAAAACTAGGGTCACCCTAAACTGGAAATGACTTCAAGCCAGGCGCACAAGAAGACACAGGGGAAAATGGCAGTACCTTTCCTGGAAATCCATATCTGGAGGTTGCAGAGGGTCCACCTCTGATTTCTTTCAGCAATGGTGGTGATAGTTTTTTGTGGGTTTTTTGGGCTGTGTGGCCATGTTCTAGAAGAGTTTCTTTCTGACGTTTCTCCAGCATCTGTGGCTGGCATCTTCAGAGAAAAAAGCCACAGATGCTGGCGAAACGTCAGAAAGAAACTCTTCTAGAACATGGCCACACAGCCCAAAAAAACCCACAAAAAACTAAGGATGCCGGCCATGAAAGCCTACGACTTCACAATGGTGGTGATCTCGTAGCCCTAGGAGCTCTGAGCCAAGCTACAGTCCCACCTGGGAACCTGTCTCCTTGAGTTGTGCAGGCTTCACTTTGGAGCAGCTCAGTGGTGGCTTTTTCCAGTAAGTAGTTTGCAAAGTGCCTCTCTCTGGCTTCCCTACTCCTTCCTTTTCTCTGTCTCCTCTTTTTTGTCGGCCTGATCTTGCTGGGCTAAGTGATCTCATCTGCTCAAACAGCAACCAGCTGCTGCTTCTGTTCCTCTGATGACTCAGCCATCTCTCAGCCTCACTGACATCTGTCTCCAACTGGATGCTTTGCTCAAGGGTGATCTATCACAAGCAGGGGGAAAGGAAGCCTGGATGGCAATATATATATATATATATATATATATATATATATATATA